CTATGAGGCATAATGGATACAGCACTGGACTTGGAGTCAGGAAGACCTGAATTAAAATCCAACCTCAGACAGTTACTAGCTGTAAGTCATTTACCCTATGAATGCCTCAGTTTATTCAACTGTAAAATGTGATCACAACAGAACCTACCTCAGAGGGTTCTTGTGAAGATTAAATGAGATATGTGTAAACTTAGCACAGTGCCAAAGCATTAATAAATGCTTATTCCCTTCCCCTGCCCCTTTTCTTTTAAGTGGATGCTCTGGATTTTGACTATATTATTCCTGAGATTTCCTTTTGGAATTTCAGGAAACAACTGGTGGATTCTGTCTTTACCGTACCCTTTCATTCTAACAGATTTAGTTTCCTTTTGATTTCTTCAAATACAGTGGCCAGGTTTTTTTAAAGTTAGTTTTCAAGCAATCTAGTAACTTTTAAAATCATCTGTTCTTTACCTATTTTCATTCATTGATATCAGATATACTTTCTTATATTCTTCTGATTTTGTTCTAATATTTTTTTTTCTCTTGGAATCCTGGATTTGTTTGATCCATTCTAATTTTTAAGGAGTATGCTGAGTAAGGATTACCAGCTTCTCTTCCATTTAGTCTCTTTCCAATTCTTTCCTTAAGAGCTTTTAGTTCATTGCTATCTGTTGCTTTACTTTTTTCTAGGTATTCATGTAGTCCTCAAGGGAAAATCCATTTTTTTTTTTTGTTTTGAGTCTCTTCTTTGTTAACATTATCCCCCACATACAGAATACTTCCTCCCTTCTCTCTACCAATCTGAGTTCTACTGATATTTTAATGCCTAGTTTAAATTCATGGAGTCCTCTTTGGCTAAAACTCATTCTCAGTAGCGTCTATCACTTAATCATATACTGCCTTGTGCCAGATACTAGACTAGAAGTTCTTTGAGGATCATTTTTATCTATTGCATCTCTTGACAGACTGGGATAGTGTTCTGCACAAAGTAGGTAGTTAATAAATGTTAATTTTTCCTAGTTAGATTTTAGACTTCTTGAAGTCAAGGACCATGTCAATATAAAATAAACAACACAGTTTCTGAACACAATAAAATTCTACAATCATCTAATGAGTTTGTTTTTCTTCTTGTCTGTGACTAAAAAGCTAAGTCTTAGGAAAATGCTTGAGGCACACAGAGGTTAAATGATTTGTTTAGGGTCATTTACCTGAGAAGGTAGCTCATTTATCTGGAAGTAGCTAAGGGCAGAGTGGATAGAGCAGTAGGCCTGGAGTCAGGAAAACCTGAGTTCAAATCCAGCCTCAGACACTTCCTAGCTGTATGACCTTGGGCAAATCACTTAATATCTGATTGTTTGATATAATGGATTTATTGGAGAAAGAAATGGCAAACCACTCCAACATTTTTGCCAAGAAAACTTCAAATGGGGTCATAAAGGGTTGGTCATGACTGAAATGATTGAACAAGAAAAATTTACCTGAGGCGTCTTCCTGATTCAAACCCAATATATTAGCCACTGTGCTCTGCTGCCAGTATATTTATTAATGTAAGTTGATTTAATATGAAACTAATAGAGTTTAACCTGGTTATACATGGACATAAGATTTTAAATCTATTTTAAAATATATCTAGTACCAGTACAAAAAGTATAATAACAAAAGTTTATAAACCTTTCCATGCTATGTATCTTGTTTGAAAATATTTGGACATATTTAATTTCCTAGGAAACAAAGACAACTTTAAACAAAATTACTAAACAACTTCTAAAAAATATAGTGTATTACTAGATTTTGGTCTTTTTCTTGCCCAAAAGGGTATGTTAACTTATTTTTAAGTCTAGTAAAATCATATATTTCCTAACATTTTCATTGTGTGGTCATAGATATAATGGAGAGATGGGGAAAAATTTGTTAATACAGTGACACCTGCTGGTTTTTAGCTGCAAATTTCAAATTCCAAGTTAAAAGCAAACTTTTAAACTTTCAAAATTTACTTACTGAAGATTAAATGACAGTAGTTTATTTGTAAATCATTTGATTAAACATATGGTGGACAACAGAGGAAACTTTTTTTCTCTTTTGTAACAATGATCTTTTGGCAGAATTTTTACAGGGGTAAAAAAGTATTTTTCTGTTAAGTCCCTGACAAATAGTTGAATTTGCATTTAATGTTAGATAAATATTTAATTGCCCGCTTTGTTTTTGTTTTTTGTTTTTTAAAGGAAAATAACTATGCCGAATCCAAGAAAAAAGACAGGACTTATGTCATTTTTTGCACTACTCTAACAAGTATAGCTAATGCCATAAAAACTAACAGGAATAATTGAAAATTTTGTAATCCTACATTTTTCAACATAGTATCCCATCTGCCTACTAGCATATACGAAACTCTCTCAGAGCCACACCCATCACTCAGAATCGCTGGAAACATCTCCTTGGGGGCTGAAATTTTCCAACCTTGGTCTCAATTTAAGGTGAAATTTTCCTGGAAAACTTAAGAGCAAATACACTCACTTATTTTGAGGAGAGATGGTGGAAAACATGTACCCCACACTATTTTCCACTTTAAAAAATGCATTAAATTATTTTTAAAGCCCAGATTACTCCATAATAGCTGAATTTCAGACACTACTTTTTTCTGTGTGTATAGTCTGAGGAAGCTTCTGTAAATGAAAGAATTATGTTAACTGGAAAAAGAACACTCTGCTTTGATAAATTTTCACTATGCAATTTCAATAATATTCACTCATAAAATTTGAAGCATTATTTGACAGCTACACAATACTGGTAGTTTCTTGATGATTTAGTAAATTAGTGGACAACAATGTCTTCCTTTTTCCTACTCATTTTATACTTTCTGAAAAAGAACCAAACAGGACTTTTTCATATTTACTCACCTTAACATACTGAAGTTTATGACTTAGGCCACTGTGCTTTTACCCTATCTTCAGAGATAAACTAACTTGGAATTAATTTGCTTTTATCAATAGGTCTCTATGCCTTACTAATGATTACTTTTCTTTCATCATCACCCAAAACATTTACTGAATACTCACTGCATGCATAGCTCTTTTGTAAAGCTGAATGGAAAATGCCAAGTTTAAAATCAAGATAAATGCACATTAGCTAAATGTGTTTTCAAGATGAACTGTAAAGTCTTTTTCTATGGTCAGGCTTATTTTTTCTGAACCAATTTTTTTTGGACAGCAGAATATGAATAGCACAAAAAGGAAGAGGTCTTTCCTACTCCTTCAAAACCTAAAATCCATTTTTGGCGGAGGTGGGGTGAGATGAGAAAACAGCTTTACAGATCAATTTAAAAGAACATGACATAATTTTATTTTTGATAGAAATGCATTACCTTATAAAACATATATGTATATATTACCATTACTTATGGAGCACACTTAATACTTGGTGTCTTTGGAATAGTATTAAATCATCCCTTATGAAGTGAACATTTTAATCTATGCAAAGACCTATATACAGTTTTGCTGATGGTGCTAGTTGTGTCATTAAAAATAACATGGTATTGAGTAGTTGTGGAAGAAAAGGAGTATACATAGTGGAAATTTATTAATGAATCCAGCTTCTATTTCCCAATTCAGCAATGACACATTTATAGCCTTGGGTTACAACTATTCAATAGTTCAATGATAACATTTTTACAATGGGAACAATACTTGCTGCATGCTTCAATTCATAATAATGCTGTTGAAAAATAACGTTTGCAAAGTTCTTCTTAAGAACTTGGCAAAGCATTAGATAAGTATCCACGACAATGGTCCCCAAATTTTTTGACTGAAGACAACTTAAATTCGTTTTTAAGTATTGTACTTGCACCTTTCCTCTTGAGGCAAAAATAAATAGCCCTGGTCCTAAGTGTCTCGGGCAATATTACTAGCACAAGCTCACTCTTAAAATGCTTTAGTGGGTAGATGGAGATTTTAGTGTCCTGGAAGCAAAGGGGAGAATTCCCTTTGGTACTGGTGATACCCAAGTGTTTCAGAGCACTTCAGTTCATAACTACTGATATAGAAAATATGTATTTATATTAAATCCTGCCTTTGTCATTTATTAGTTGTATATAAGTCACTCACTTAGTCTTTCTATCCTCAGTTTCTTCATCTGCAAATGATGCAGTTGCACTAGATGGTCTCTAAGGTCCCTTCTAGTTCTAAATCTATGATCTGTGATCCACATTATTTAGGGTGACATTTCTACAAACCACAATGATAACCCAAAGAACCTGGAAAGAGTCCAAAATCATAAAGCATTTGAGTGGGAAGAGTACAATACTGCCCTGTTCTGCTTCCCTTCACCTGCTCATAAATGGTAATAAAACTAGAAGCAGCCTGTTACAATGCATAAGGCATTATCAATGACAAGAATAACCATTGAGTGAAGCCTTCGAGATACATATATATGTATATAGTTAGCAGTATAGCAAAGCTATGTTTTAAAACTGAAAAGGTAATTCTTCAGTAGATTTTATTAAATCTTCATTTTGTTTACAACAAAAATACATCAAAAGTTGTGTTTCTGTATAATAACTCGTGTCCTTTTTTTTTTGTTTGTTTACAAATCTGAAGCAAATTGGTGGAACTTTTTATTGTTGTTACCTTAACACCTGTCTACAGTACAGACCAAAAGTGATTTGGTCATTCTGTGTAACAGAAGGGAAAGCGTCCACTACTAGGAAATCATTATCCAGCAATGAACTCTAGTGAAAGAGATACGATTAAGAGTTGTTACAGAGAATACGTTTTCCATTTTTAATCCTGAATGCTAATAATTCTTGTCAAATGATTTTAGATTAGAAGTTCTTTACTTTGTATAAGGTAAAGTAAGCTCATTGTAACTGAGCTTGAACACAAGCAAACAGAAAAATTGGACCCCAGTCAGGCAAATCATCTTTTTGAATATATTCTTGATGAAGCACATAGACCTAATTTTTTAGTTACAGCACCCATTCATCGTTGGATGTACTTACATGTAAAGACATTCCAGAAACCACCTTTCATTCAAAAAGGGATTTTTATTTAAGGCTTTCCTTACTTTTCATGTGTGGGATATTTTAGAGCTATGTTGTTTTTTTTTTTTTCCATCCACTAAAGAGAATTAACAAAATTCCAACATGCCTTACTGTCGGCAAGGACTCTTTTTACTCCATGGACCACAAGATGATTGATGAACCTGTCAGGCTTACGGTAGCGGACAGAGAAAGTTGGCTGAAGTTCAGTGTTATTGAAAGAAATCTCAAATACTTATTCTGTCTCCTCTACTAACTTTAATCACATTTTCAACATGCTGCCAAGAATGGAGCTTTGACACTAAGCCATAAGTTACACAGGCAACCATTGTCGATTTTATGCAGTCACAACACTGAGATAACAAGAGATGGATTTTTTTTCTTGTTCCCTTCTTCACTGCATAGCAGTTATAACATAATTTGAAATATTTATCCATGCTTTAGGATTCATTTGCAACATATATCCTCCAGTTATTATCGCATTTGATTTCTTCTTGATTTACAAAGACTAAATAAAGAAATACAACTTACATTCTCCAGGTAAGATTGTTAAATGCATATTTTAAAGATCACAGTGATGACAGCATTGTTACATTTTACACCATAATACATTTGCTTACGAGAACACACGTTATCACTAAAAACGTCTTGATATCTAACATAGCCTTTCTGCCATATGAGCCAACATTTTTGGTTCTTTCAGAGCCAGAATACATATACAGTCCCAGAGGGACCGATTACTCTAATAGCTGTAAAATGTGTGCATACTATTTAACCTAAAAAGCTTAATCCCCTGCAAAAGACATATAATGAGGTAAATACTATGGGTAAGATCATGATTCTTGAAAAGGGTAAAAAGCATAACCCAGATTTTTGGTAAGCTCTTCCCTAAACAAATTTTGAAAGTTCAAAATCTTACATGGTAAAAGGCCACTAGTCTTTGTAAGACAAAATCTTGCTTAGTCCACTGGAATACGTAGTCATGATGTGACTATACAGTTCACATCAATATCCTAAAGTAAGTAGTTTATTATTCAACAAACACACTGCTGTTGCTGAAACTACTTTTGATTTTCAACTCTTTACTCCAAGCTGTTTCAAGGCTAGTAGTTTGTGAATGTTACTCACATAAGAACAATATGCATTCCCCTCCTATGGTCTGGGGATGACTGGTAATTAATTGTATACATTGTCTAAACAAGTATAATAATCCAACGTGAATTCTCATGTATGAGAATGGATTAGATTATCTTTCATAGCCTGAGAATTCTGCTACATTTGCCATTTTCTTATCTATTCAGTGGGCATGGATAGACTACAAATTCTGATGGTCTAGGAATCAATTCATTCCATTCTTCCTCCTACTCCCCCACCTAAATAATTATACAGAGGCACTTAAAGTTGGAGGCATATAGGACTCTTTTCTTTTTATAATGAACATTAAATCTGAACTCTACCAAAAGTTTTCATCTTTATTATCAACTCTTTGATATAGCATTACCACCAAAACATATTGCTAAGTTTGTAACAGAGGACAAGTAAGTCTGGTGACTTTTTTTTTTTGGCACAGTGGAGAGAAAAGTTTTTGTATTGTTGTATGTTGTTATTCAAGTTCTTAAAAAGATGAAAATTTAGCTAGATCTTTCTCCATCTCAGCATATTGTTCTTTAAGACGTTCTGTGGCTTTTTTGTGCTCTTCATCCACTGCAGCCTGCTTGTTGTGTTGCTCTTTCATGAAATCTTCCCATTGGGTTATGCGCTGTTTTTCACTAATCAGTAAGTACTGATTATTAAGCTGAGGAAAGAAAACATGGAAGTCATGCCACATTTTATAGATATGGACGTTTTTATGTTCAGAAAAGACATATACATTTCTGTCTTAAACCAAATTACAAAAAGTAAATCTAATAATTAACTACTATAATAACAAAGCATGGTTTCATTTTGATTAGAAAAGCAAATGGGGGAAAATGCAGCACATTAGGAATAGTAGATCCAATATTTTTACTATGAATAAACATGAATGTTCACATTTCTTAACTTTTTAAAGTTTATCTTTAAAAAAACATAAAGACAAATGTAAAAATATTAGAAACACGACAAAAGTGTTTTTCAATATGTCTACCTCTTCCTTTCCGTATACCTTTCCGTTACCTTGCAGTAACATACATTTTTGTTAATGTATCAAGCATTAAAAAAAAAAAAAACCAAACAGATTGAAAGGACCTGGCAAATATATTTATATAGCACTTGAAGGTCTATGAAATATATTGCCTTACAACCACCTAGGGAGCTGGTAACAAATAATTATCGCCATTCTACAGCTGAGAAAATTGAGGATCACAACTTTAAATGGTTTCATTCTTCAAAAACCAGAGGAAGCCAAAAAAAAAAAAAAAAAAAAGAAATGCTATTTTGACTTAAATCAAAAAAGAACCAGTTGCTGAAGTAGAAGTGATGAGAACCTCAGAAGGTACTGTCCATTCTATCTTAGGATCCACAAAAGATCAGGAAAGATAAGTATAGTCTGAGGTACAGCCTAGGTTTAGAAGAAGAGATTTCAAAAGTTCAGAGAAAGGATAAATAGTAACTTACGGTCTAAAATTTCACATGGAAATTGACCCTGGGATGTTGAGAGACTCTCAGGAATGAAATTTTGATAAGACAAACACAGTTAATTCTAATAAGAAGGAAAAGGAGGGGTGTATAGTCTAAAGAGACTACTGTATATACACAGGGAACTCATTGATCAAATTAGGGTGTGTAATTGAAGAAGACGTAAGAGTGGCCTGGTCTTATAAGTTTAGTGTCAGGAACAGAACTAAAACAGAACAAACTGAGGCTGGTAATGAATGCAAAGAACAATAAAGGACATTTTTTACCCCCTGGAAAGGACAATGACAAAGAAAAGGTAGAACTAGTTCATTCTAAATTTGTTTCGGTTTTCACCAAGTTTCTAGCTATAACAATTTCTGAATATCATGTAGGGGCTGGTAGGACTAATGTCACTAATTCCAGCACACTAAGAGTTAATCATATTGCTGACAAAGGTGTCTTTACCAGAGTTTTATTTAAAAGCTAAAGGTTAAAACTATTAAGAAAAATTAGAACAGATAAGGAAATGTTACCCCAATTAATACAAGATTCCAAAACGAGTAAGTCAGTAAAGAGAAATTAATGTATAATACCCAGTAATTACCCAAATCAGTCGGTCAACAAACATTTATTAAGTACTTACTAAATGCCAGTTATTGTGCTAAGCACTGAGGATACAAAAAAAGGCCAAAACAATCCCTGGCCTCAAAGAGCTCACATTCTAAAGGGGGAGACAACGGGCAAACTACTATGTACAGACAAAATATATTATTCTAGGCCCAAGTCTTTTGTGAAATTGGATCTCTATTACATCCTTCCTCAAAACCCAAATGGCTTATAGTATACAACTATCAGTGATGAAACCAACCCCCCAAAACACCCCAAAAATGAGACAATCCTTATTCAACAAGAATTCTACATACCAGCAGCTGAGTCTAATCTGAGAAGATGGCTCACCTCAAAGAAATGGATCATGGAAAACTAAGACATGCTATGAAACCAGAGCAGACTTACTGGGCCTGGTCTCTTAAGATCCAAATGTCCTACTTAGAGAAAAACAGTCGCTGAAGGAAGCTGGAGATAGTTCACATAATGATCATCTACACAGAAGAACAAATGTCTTTGCAAGTCCTCTCCTCTTTGCAAGTCCTCTCCTTGATTCTGTTCTAGTGCATCAAATACCTTTACTTCCAGGTTTGCAGCTAGGCTGTATTTTACAGCATGTAAACAGTGTGTACTGTGTACACGTTGTTATGTGCCAGTGGAATATAAGCTCTTTCGGTCTTGTATCCCCAGAATTTAGCACAATGTCTAGTACGTTGTAGGTACTTAATAAAGGTTTGGTGAAATGAAATGAATTCTCTACAAGGAGAAGGATATTGAAGGATTTTGGACTGGAAAAGAATAAACAAAAACAATCAACTGAGATGAACTCAAGATAAGTAAAGAGATGGTAAGATAGGCAATAAGATGTCCTCAAGAATTTAGGTCAGAAGAACTGAGTCTGATTCTCAAAAAAGGGAATTTACTTTGATTCCCAGCAAGATGATTAAACATATTAGGAAATGACAGTCTGTGATTATTTTCAAAGGGAAGAAATGACAATATACCTGGATTTTAATATAGGATTTGAAAAAGTATCTCACTGTATTTTTGCGAACAAGGTAGACAGACATGGGCTAGATGAAAGTTCAATTATAATTGCACCCAAAGAGTAGATTAATGAATTAAAAGAACTGGGAGACAGTATAGTACAGTGGATATAGAACTAACTATAGAGTCAGAGATACTAGGTTCAAATCCTACTTCTGTTATTTACTACCTGCCTGATCATGGACAAGTTACTTACCTTCTTGAGTTTCAATTTCTTCATCTGAAAAATTAGGGAGTTAGACTAAGATATCTTATGTTCCTTTCAGCTCTAAATTTTGGTCCCTATGATCCTAAGTTCTCTAGTGAAGGGTTCCAGGGTTCTGTCCTTAGTCTCAGTTCTGTTTACCAAATTTTTCTCCCCAATGGCATAGTTGGCCTGCTCATCAAATCTGCAGATAGCATGAAGTTGGAAAGCATAGCAAACATATTAAAAAATAAGACAGAAATGTAACACAACAGGCCTCATCTAATAAGAGGGAAATAGTGGGAGAGGAGAGCTTCAGACATTGCCACATGGACCCCACAACTTTGCCTGACCCACCATTAATCCATGGCCAACCCCATTATATTCTTCAGACATCACTATGGACAGTTAGCTGCAGAACATACTAACTTTCTGTTTTTGCTGACAAGGGTCTAAAAGAAAACAGAAAAGTTCACCTCTGAACAGTAAGGACAAAACACACAAAAATTAAAAAAAAAACCAAACAACCTGGTTACAAAGGCTGCACTGTTACAGAATTATTCCTGCCTTCACGTGCCAGTGTGGTGACTTCATATAAATGAAAAAGCACTAAAGTGCTTACTATGTGCCAAGCACTGTGCTAAGCAAAGAGGAGGTAGAAAGGAATGAAGAGGGGGAGGGGAAGACATACAGAGAGAGAGAGAGAGAATTTTTTACTTAAGAAGCTTATATTCTAATAGGGGAGGACAACTTACATAAAGGATATAAAAACTTATATAAAATCTTTCCCATATGGGGGAAGAGTGTTTGTTCTGGGAAGGTGGAGGGGAGTGTGAGGGTTGGGGTGGAGGTACACCTACCTGGTGCGATGGCCTGGGACTGGGTGGACTGATGAATGGATTGAATGTGAAACTGAAGTATGCCACAATGACACAGATGGCAATGATATCTATGTGGAGAGATTTGCTGATGAAAACTTCATCCTGAAGCAAACTGGTCCTGGTATCTTGTCTATAGCAAATGCTGAACCCAATACAAATAGCTTCCAGTTTTCTATGGGCCCAAGACTGATTAGTTAGATGAAAAGTATGTGGTCTTGGACAGATGAAAGAAGGCATGAACCTTGTGGAAGACTCAGGGTACTTTGCCTACTGGAATGGTATGCCCAGGAAGGGCAGACACAGTGCTGTGGTATATAATAATAATAGTAGGCACTTTTAATAAATACACGCTGATTTATTACTGAATAACCCATTACTTCCTGTGAACAATTTCCATCCTGTACTTGTGAAATTGATTTGTTGTTGTTGTAGATGTTAAAGATAAGATTCCCATTTAAGTACAAGGTGGAATAGATGACCTCTGATATCCCATCTTACGTGAAGATTGTGTGATTATATACTTGACTGGTCACAACGCAAGTACATTTCAGAGCTGAGATTTGGTATCAGATTTTTGGTCCAAGTCTAGCATTTTTTCCACTCTACCATGCTTCTTCCTCCTCATCAAAGACTAAACAACAAATAATATATTTAAGAAGATATTTTTTACTACACCATGGTGGATTTTACAGATTCATAAATTATGAGAATTAGAAGAAACCTTGAGAGATTATTCTAGTTCCACGCTGTCAGGCAGGTAAATGTATTAAATATCCAGGTCTGTTCTCCTCTTGATGTGTTCCAAGCATGGAAAATCTACTCTTGCTTCTAGGAATTCAGCTGACTTTGGAGGATGTGTGTGAACATAAGGGAGTCAGGCCTAAAATCTTTACACCACCAAGTTATCCTTCAAGGATGTCTGGTGAAATCAAACAATGCTCACAAAGAAGAATGCGGGGATTGCTGGTAGCTCTCATTACCAAACTTCCAACCAATCATGTTCCCCTGCACCTCAGCTCTATAACTAATCATGTTGCCCTCAACCCTATGATATCACTTACTCTGTTCTGCTCTTTGTTCTATATAGACTCCCCAAAACCTATAAAAGGGGAGTTGTGCATCTGCTAGGGGTCTTTTGCATAAATAGAGGAAATCTATTGACTCTTTTATTGGCAGGCAGCATGCCCTGCTAATAAATGTTATCTTGGGTGGAAAACTGCCTCAGTTTACCTTGCTGAATTTCACCTGTGATATGACAAAGGATAAAAAAATTACTAAAATAAAGACAAATAACATTCACCTCTTCTCTTTTAGTTTACAAATGGTGCCTGCCATCCTAACGTAAAAGGAAATTACATTAGTTCATTCTAATTTGTTTTTCCACATATTAATGTTACTTACTTTACACTAATACTCTAAGTTGTTAATAATTTACTGATTTTATTCTAGTACCTTTCCATATATGAATGGAATTGCCATTCT